TGTTAGTAGCTTTTATGACAACTTTAATATCAGTTCTATCAAATAGGTCAGTGTCATTATGTTAGAGTTACTACTGAAGTTATTAATGTTATTTTTAATGAACCAGTGAGATTAATTTAGTTACGTGGGATGTAGGGTATTGTTGAAGACCCTATGATAGAAACAATTTTATTAATATTATCTATATAATTTATACATAGATGCTCTAGAATCTAGACGGTTGTATACAATATTTTTCCACAAATAAGCCACAATTCTACATACCTTTATATATCACACCGTATATTTAAAGTGAAATCAAACTGGTATTAATTAAAAATCGAATAAATAAAAATCAATTTGCGCAATCGAAACTATTTTATTACCCAGTACAAAGTAGTTTGAATAATAAATTACTTAATTCTAATATCAGGTTCCTATGTTTTTTCTAAAATTACCAAATCCGAATATTAAAAAAGCAACTAACAACCTTTATCTACCTGCGAAATTGAAAGTGGTAAACAGCAAAGAGAAACAAAAAACACAACTTTTACCTAAAATATTTCCTAAATTATGCGTTTCGCACGGTGGATGTCGATTTGGAAATTTTTTTTCGTGTTGCTTATTTTGTAACCTTGGTCTGTATTTGCTAATATTGCCTACATTCATTTGTGCAACTACCTGCAACATAGATTCGAATGATAATAGTACGGTCGTTACGATATAAAACTTCTTTGATTCTGATATTTTTAAAAAACGCTCTTTCCTTCGCATTGTTAAATGTAAATTATTTTTTTTTTTAAATATTCTGAAGAATATTTCGTAAAGTGATTTTCTGGTTTACATTTGATATATTAGGCCAGTAAGTAAAAGACATACAAAACGAGAAAGTTTTAAAGATAAAGTACCGAATGAATCGAAACTTGGCGATTTTACAACTCGATGCAGGGTCGACAACATTATTATCAAAAATGGCAAAAATCTTGCTAAATTCATCAATGAATAAATAGTAATATTAGGAACAAACGCGTTCATTTGTTTCCAGAGCGTTGAAAAGGAAACTAGCTATTAAGAAAATATTTTTAAAAGTATAAATTAATTATTATACGCATGAATTAAAATGAACCAATGTAATTTTGTTTGGGAGTGCCAAAAGAAAGTAATGTTTTTTTTATAAAATGTTAGTTCTTGGTATGGTAATCTAATATATCAGTGTCCTAATTTGTGTGTTTAATTTATCTTAAGTAACAGACAACCCGGTAACGTATTTTGAAAATAATAGTAAATTGATTTGAAAAACAAAACAATCATGAAATTTTATTTATTAGGCGTTACGCAGATTACGGATTTAATTCAATTGTTCACGTATTGGAGCTCTTCAACGGTTACTAGCATATGATTATGAGGAGGACTAATTTCAACCATCGTAATGTTATCCTACGTATGTTTAGCGCCTTTTCCCTAAAATTTGTTTCATTGGAGAAGTGCTACCTACTGAAGAAGAAGAAGAAGAAGAAGACCATTTTTGTTCAGTAGATTTACAATAAGTTAAATTATTTAATTAAACTAAGCTTTTCCGCCTGATCCCTTTTATATTATTGGTATAACTAATTTAAATATTTTAAATAGCTCAATGTTATTTACAGGTAACTGATAATGAACATGGCCGAATCTAAAAAGAAATGTAGATAATACAGTGTTGATTATTTGAAATTTGGCTTCATTCCTAGCAAAATCCGAAAAACCCCATACTATCGAAGAAAAGCTAATATTGCCAGTCGTTGAAAAATATTTAAAAACTGTATTATACAAACCTGCAGCTACTACCATTAAAAGAATTTCTTTAATCAACAACACAGTTCAAAGGCGTATTTTGCAAACGATCTATTTCTATTTCTAGCTGGACGAGTCAAGCTTGCCTGATAATGAAGCATTATAATTATTAGTACATATTCGTTTTATTATGGATCAAAAAATAAACAAAAAGCTGCTTTTCGCGAGAACTTTGACAACTGACACTAAAGGCGAATCCATATTTAATATTTTGAAGGATTGCTTCATATAAAAAGTGAAAATATTATCAAATATAATATCTGTAGCAACGGATGGGGCCCTGCCATGGTTGGGCGCTACCGTGGATTTGTAAACCACTTAAAACAAAATGTGTTAGCAATACACTAACAGTGTCGGATTGAGCCCTCGTTCTACCGGTCCAAAGACCGGTAGGCCCTCGTCCAGGCAGTGGGCTTTGGTTCAGAAGAACACAAAGAACCAAATACGAACTCAGACTCTGGTGATGCCCAATCAGAAACTGAGACAGACTAAATATGAAACATGCTCTGCCAGAGAGTGACTCAAATGCAATAACTCCATTTTTTCTTCCTTGCAGTAATGAAACTTACAGGAAAATCTCTATTTTTCTTAAAAATCATCCTAAACAACCAATGCCAGGAAAACTCTATTTTTATTGAACAACCAACGCACACAGATTTTCCCAGACTCCTGTTTACAACAATCATTTATAAAAGGAAAATATTTAAGAATTTCATTGTTATGCTTTGTTAGAAGTTTTACCTTGGTAACCTAACTGTTTTTTTGTTCCTAAGAATTTTGTTCTTATTTCGTATCCACAAATCTTCGATACAAAAAAAAAACTTATTTTATGTCCAAAATGCTTGGAGGGGTACTAGATATTTTTATTGATAACTTTTATATTCTCAAACGAGCCGCTTAGGACTAAAATCAATAATCAAAAAATGGTATTAATGCCATACGATTAAGCATATTTCAAGCAATAAATATACAAAATTTAATCACTTAAAAGAAAATCGCTTCAAATATATTTGAGTTTAAACCAATGATAAGGCGACATCTTCAAAGAGCTTTAGCTCCCTTAGTAAGTATTTTATTCAAAGTCCATGTTAACTTGGATAATACAAAAAAAACCTGTAACTACGTACAAATAACTTGAAAATCATTTATTAAAAAGAAATGTTATGTATTATAGCTAATTTAAATAAGGCGAGTAACAAAGCTGTCACTTAATGTCAGTTCGCGCAAAACGTCAACTTTGCAGTTTTAAACATATACACTAGGGTGGCCCAAAAAAAGCGAACATTTTTTTTATTTAACTCTCCTATGAAAATATGTTAGTTTATCATGTTTTAAGAGCCCCCTCCAAAGGACAGCTGAAAAAAAATTTTTAAAGGGTCGCTCCGAATTTTTAAAAAATTCCAAAATCGTCGAAAACCGGATTTTAAAATAATAATATACACTAACCGCTACTTAAAAATTTTTCGTGAATGTTCATAAATATTGGGCTGGTATATCTAAGGGGGTCGCGACATAGACCCAATAAATGGATGAGGGGGTGACTGAGGCTAGGGGGAAATAGTAGTCAGCTTAAGTTTGCAACACTTTTCTGATGTTCGTTTGGCGAAATCCACGGTTATCGTTTATCCTGCCGTAATAGTATTACAAAAACAGAGACAGATCTACTTTTAACGTGCAATGTCGAATTAAAACTAAAAACATTTTGTACTTTTTTATATACCAAATTATGCAATTTGTGTCTACTTTATTTTATGAATAGGTACATGCGTTTGGGCTGTGGTAAATAAGTGTTCATGTGAAAATTATCTCTGAAACTGCATTGTGACTGCACTCATCTCAAAACTAAATGCTGTAAATCTAGGATTTAAATCTTTCATAGTGTTGCTTGGGATAAATTGTAAAAAAGGTGTTGGACAAAACGTTTACAACCTAAAATTGCATGGAAAACATCAGAGAAGAAGGAATTTTACCTTTATGACATTCTCTTTCAACATTTTTAAGTGACTTTAGTTTGTGGTTTGGTGAATGGACTCAGTGACCACAGTGAAAAAATTCAAATTAGTTATCATCGATAGGATATTTTGTAGTAGCTGGTCTCTTTAAATAATAAACTTAAAGTCCGTTAGCATGGCACGATAGCGCTCTGCATTCACTATTACAGTATGCCCATCCGCATCCTCAAAAAAGTAGGGACCGATAATTCCGCCGGCATGCAAACTACACCATACAGTAACTTTCACGGGGTGTAATGGCCTCTCCACTAGTTGTTGGGGATTGTTCTCACACCAGAAGCGACAAAATTGCGTATTCACAAAGACATTAAGCCAAAAATGGGCTTCATCTGAAAAGATGATTTGTTTACCAAAATCAGCATTTTCTTCTAACTGCAAAAGAGCCCAATCGGTAAACATTCTCCGCAAACCATGGTCGGCAGACTGCGGTTCTTGAGTTATAACCATCTTATATGGATGTAGGCCCAAATCTTTCTTCAAAATACGCCATGTTGACATTACTGAAATGCCTAGTTGCTGAGAACGGCGTACAACAGATACATTTGCATTTGCGTTCACGCTTTCCCTTACCGCATCGATATTTTCAGCACTCCTTGCAGTTCTTCGTCTTATCGGTGGCTTACTATCCAAGAAAGTGAAATCCCGTTCAAACTTGGCAATTGTGCGCCTGATAGCGAACTCAGAAGGTCGTCCATGTTGGCCAAAATCTTCACGAAGAACACGATAACAAGCTCTAACCGATCGCCCATTTTCATAATACCTTTGTACGATAACTAAACGTTGCTCTTTACTTAGTCGATTCATGGTGAAATGTCGAAGTATACTGAACACAAACAACGCTTGCTTCTTGTTATCACAATCAACATTGTACGCATATGACCTTCGAAAATTCTATCATTCCTATTGGTAGACCCTTTATATAAAATGGGAATATTATCTACAATTTAATTTGAAAAAAATATGTCTTTAGTATCAAACAGAATCTGTGGAGAGCAACATATTATTCGTAAGAACATTAAAAATATTGAATTAATAGGTGACCTTGTCTTTCCTGAACCGCTGGGCCCTACGTCCTATTGATAGGTGACCTTGTCTTTCCTGTACCGCTAGGCCCTACGTTCTAAACGTCCCAATCCGACACTGTACACTGCTTTATCCATCGACAACACCTAGTTGTCAAAAATTTGAGTAGTAGATTGCATGAATCTCTTCAATTTGTCATTAACTCAGTAAACCGAATTCGAAGCAACGCATTGAATACGAAATTATTTGCTCAGTTGTGGGACGAAAATGAATATGGTTTACTCTTTATGACAGTGTTTTGGTGTTTTTGGATGCTACAGATCCAATTTTCACATAAAGTTTAATCAGGTGCAAACCAGACATTGCCTATTTGACAGATTTATTCACTAAATTTATTGAGGTCAACTTGTAGTTAAAAGGTGACAGCCTTAATTTGATCAAAATACAGTCCATAATTTCAGCATTTCTTGCCATAATTAAACTAAATAAGCAAAACATTGGAAGGGGGAATTTTCCCAGGTACTCAATTTGTCACAGACAAACTGCCAGGAAGATAACGTTTTACTTACGTTCAACATTTAAATGTTATGTACGCAGATTTTTAAAAATGGTTTGAGGATGTTTTGAATATGGTAATTACACAATGGATAATCAATCCATTTGGTGATGTTGAAGAAACGGATGTCATATTACAAGAGGAACTGATCGGAATAAACAATAACGAAGAATTTAAGGTACAGTTTAGAAACGGATATTATCCATACTTGCTTCAAAAAGATATACCTGTTACTTATCCTGCATTATGGAATATCGCAAGAAAATTTTTAACTGCTTTTCCGTCTTCACATCTGGTGGAAAAAGGTTTAGGCGCCTTTGCCAATCTTCTAAAAAAAAAAAGAAACAAACTGAACATCACTAACAGGGGAGATTTAAAATGAAACCTCACTAAATTGATACCAGATATTAAAAATTTATCAAAGCATCAGGTTTATCCCTCCCACTAAAAAGCGTTTATTTTTATTTATTGATTTTATGTAATACATAGGTAGGTAATTAATTTTATTTTGGTTCGTTTTAATTTCAGTTTTATTGATAAATATATAAAAATTAGTGTGTTTTTTATTGTTTTTTTTTACACCTCACTATAGTTAGAAATCAGTTAAACCATATTTGAAGTTGACGAATTTTCAAAAATGCAATATTAGCTAACCACCCAAAACCAAAAACATGGAAAGTGCTCTAGGAAACAAAAAAAATTGTATTGTTTATTTTTTATATTTTTATTGGACAGCTATAAACAAAAAATCGACTAAGAATATAAAAAGTAGATTGTGTTGTAATTAATTTCTAATATTTTATTTGTCTCTATTGACTTTCACAAATAAAATATAAATAAACAGTTCTTACCGTATTCAAAGTTTTAAACTATCCAAATGTTGATATAAATTATACCCATTGTCCTAACGTAAGAAGAGAATAATATTCCTCTTTTCTTTATACGTATATATTGATTTAAAACTGTGTTTTATATGATTATGTTTTACATATTACCCTCTAACAGAAAAATAAACTTTTTTTTTATAAATAAAATTTTACTTTTATTGATATTAATTCCGGGCTGGATTCACTCACTTACAGTTTACTTTCAATAATTTTGATAAAAAAAGAAAAATTAAAAATAAAAAAATCCAAATATTATTTACCTCTATATTTGATCTGATTACACTTTACAATAATTTACACATTAAAATATATATAATTTAGATTCAATTTGTCTCTTCCTCCTTTTAAAGTCGGCATATATGGAATAGTCGGGTAATATGGAATACTTTATAATTTTAAATTGGGTGGCTCCATCTCTAAGATGATGACGACATTAGAATGCTCGTTAAAATTGTAGACTACTGGCATGAAATAAAATTGCCGCTAGACGCCACCAACGCCGAAAAATGTGAGGTTATGATTTTCACGTATTTAAAGTTTGTACACGGTGTGAGTTAAAATCGTTTTGTGACTACATTTTGCTAAAATAAAGTTGTTTAAACGCATGGTAAGTTTGTTTAGGCATAAGATGGTAGAAATCTTAACGATTTGCTCTGATATTTTTCGTAATAACAAATAGAGTACTTGTTTTGTTTACATTTTGTTTAGCGTGTAATATGGAATATTCCCTTGAAGAAAAAGCGAAAACAATGGAGTGAGAAAGATATGGAAAACGCCATTGAATCAGTAAGAAACAAAAATATGGGTTATTTGGCCGCAGCGAAAAAATTTAAAGTTCCACGCTCAACACTTATTCGCCTCTGTAGCAGTGAAGGGCCTCCACAACTTTTAGTATAACGAAGTTGGGCAAAAAACCAATTTTGTCAGCGGAGTTAGAAGAGGAACTAGTTCGATATTTACTTATAATGGATCAAAAGTTTTTTGGTCTGACAAGAAGGGATGTCCGATCTTTAGCATTTCAACTTGCTAAGCGTAACAATATACCACATCCATTCTCCCTTTTACGCGAATCTGCGGGAAAAGATTGGTTTTCGTCATTTAGGAACATGCATAAGGCTACACTAACTTTACCAAAACCCACTGGAACTTCCCTAGCAAGAGCCGTTGATTTTAATAGGGAAAATGTCACTGAGTTTTTCGACTTATTAGAGAAGACTATGGCAGAGCGAAATTATGGACCTCACCAAATATATAACGTAGATGAGCCAGGGGTTGTCTATTGTGTAATCAAGATGCCCAGAAGTGGTATCGCTTAGAGGCAAACGACAAGTTGATGCTATTACATCAGCAGAGAAGAGGTCTCTTATAACCATCGTAATATGTATGAGTGCGGCAGGTGATTTTCTGCCACCCATGATCATCTTTCCGCGAAAAAAAGCAAGTGACCAGCTAAAAAAGGGGACACCTCCAGGAGCGCTATTTGCTTTTCACCCATCCGGGTGGATTCAAACAGATTTATTTACAAAATGGTTTGACCACTTCCTAGAAAAATCCAAACCTTCAGCAACAAAACCAATACTGCTGATATGAGACGGCCATCACACACACTAGAAATCTAGATGTACTTGTCAAAGTCAAAAACAATCATGTTACTATTTTATGCTTACCAGCACATACGACGCATAAACTTCAGCACCTCGACAAGACCATCATGGGTGCATTAAAGACCTATAACGAAGAAGTAAGAATCTTCATGAGAACGGAAAAACGTGCAGTAACACATTTTGATATTTGCCAGTTATTTGGTAGCGCCTATCTTAAAATGCAGGAAATGTGGACGTTCCAAAATAATCACATCGACGCGAATAAGGAAGAAGTGGAGCAATCAATTAATCTCTCAAGACAAAAAGTTACCCGAAACGTTTTCGATGAACCTGGACCTAGTGGATTACAAACCAAGAAGCGTAAAGTCACGAAAAAATATGTGCCCTCTAGTTCCTCTGATTCACAATCTGAACAAGTAGTTGATGATTCATCTGATGAAGATTTCCTCGAGCCGAAGTAGAGAAATATGGGTACAATGCGTAATCTGCAATAAATGGGCTCACGAAGCTTGTACCAGTGCAGAAAATGATGTTTTTATTTGCGATTTTTGCAATTCATAGATGTACTTATATATAAAAAAAAAAAAAAAATAAAAAAAAATAAAAAAAAAATAAACAAAAGTTTGTTATTCTATCAGGGTCTGTAGCTAATAATTATTTGTTTTTACAAAATTTGATATATGTATTTTTTCCTGATTTATATAATAAATTATAAAGATTTATAATAAAAAAATATATATAGATAAAAATAAAAAAAAGAAGCAAAAAAAACATTTTCGACAATTTTACCTGGGTTTGCAACTAAATTTATTTTCAAAATCTGATACCTATGTATTTTTTTTATTTTAATTTTTTTTCTTTTTTTCGTTTTATTATATAAATTATAATAAGATGTATTACAGTATACCGCTAATTATACATTTATACTCTTAAAACAAAATAGCCTTAATAAGTAACGGCAGCAGCAGACAGGATTTTCCTAAGCTCGCAAAGTTACTTTTATTATGAAAATCATAGTAGTTAGGCATTACAAAATGTTCCCTTTCTTGTTTATTTCTACTAAATTGTAAAATAATTATATACTTTGTATTCATGGTTTTCGAAATAAACTTATTATTATATTATTATTATTATAAATAAACTTATTATTATTATATTATTATTATTATTATTATTATTATTATTATTATTAATTATTATTATTATTATTATTATTATTATTATTATTATTATTATTATTATTATTATTATTATTATTATTATTATTATTATTATTATTATTATTATTATTATTATTATTATTATTATTATTATTATTATTATTATTATTATTATTATTATTATATTATTATTGATGTTCTGAAGTTAAATGATTTTAGTACAGTTTTTTACGCATAATAAGTCTATTCCATATTACCCGATATGACCATTCTATATTACCCTCCATTTTTTATTTTCGAACAAAAATGCTTTTCTTTTAATTATTTTTATAAAATTACCGAATATGATTTACTTTTTAATTTAGCACCTGTCACTCCTTGGAGATACTTAGAACTATTTATTTATCAAATAATGCAGCTCTAAACCCTTATGTTTTGATGTTATCACTATAAAAATAATTGGTATTCCATATATGCCGACTTTACTCTATGTTCTTCCTGTTAGTCCTGTCTGCTCACTATTCACTTCTACCAACATCCTTTCTATTCAGTATATGATGAACAACAAGTATTAGAAATTAAAAATTTAAAAAAACCGACTTCAAAAACGTGCAGATGCCATCACCACATCTCAACCAAATTTATATGGGACCATCCCTGAGGTACTCCCTTATTATAAAAAAAAGAATCATATAAATCGGACAAGGTGATAAAGCATTATCGCTAAATATACATAAAAAATGCGAGACTTTGAGGATTTTCTCATGGACCCAATTATTAGATTTTGACCAAATTTATATGGGACCACCCCTGAAGTATTCCCTTTCTAACAAAAAAAGAATCATTGAAATCGGACGCCGTGTTAAAGAATTATCGCTGAACATACATAAAAAAAAAAATATCGCGACGAATTGATAACCTCCTCCTTTTTTGAAGTCGGTTAAAAATTAGAAATACTCAAATTCATCTTCTGTTTATTTCAACCAAAACATGATTTTTGATGAAATCATATAGTTTAATTCGTATTTTTTTTATAATTTAATATTATTATTTAAAATTATTATGATTTAAATTTTTGTTACCGATATATATTTCTGAAAAACATTGTCTTTCATTAATATTGCGGTTGAGTATAGGTTCCAAAAAATAAACCGATTGACTGTACTATTATACAAACCCAAAGCGATGCGGGTATGCAACTTCAAAGTTGGACATTGTGTCACGAAATCGGCGTGGGAGAAAAAACGTCGCTGTGGTGTGCTGTTGTCGCGCGTAGATGCAATGACAATGAGGCATTAAGTAGAGCGTTATTTTTGCAATTCCGAAAGTGGTACACACACACTATCTCTTTAAAAAATCAAGAACAGTAGCTGCATAAAAATGAGTAAAGTGATGGGTGAGGTATTAGAATTACTCTTGCGACACTATGGGCATTTGAGTCATTTTCATTTTCTTTGATAAGATTGTTTGTTTAAATCGTTAAAATCAAAGAAAATAAAATATCTTCTTTTTTGTCTGCGTTTTAGTCTTAACTTAAAAAGAAATGTGCTAAAATGATGAATATAAAAGATATTATAAAAAATAAAATGACAAGAAACAGAGATAAGATACATATTGTCAAGCAAAAGTGTCCAATAATATCATTGTTTATTATAGAACTATTATGAAAAGCCAACTACAGAATGAAATGGTTTTATGGTTAGTGTTTGACTTTTAATTTATCTTAAAATTTAAAAATAAATAATAAATAATGAATCATCAATGTACCTATTATAACACCGGTCGACACGATTTTTGGGTCTGACTTCTGCATGTGAAGTTTTGGTTTCTCCTATGTT